ACAGCCTAGGATGCTGTCATAAAACTTACATCACAGTAAAGTAATATTTCTAATCAATCGAAAGAATTGATAATGTTATAATATTAAAAAAAAAAAAAATTAAAAAAAAAAAACATGTTCAGTTTTTATATTTTGGTTGGAAAAAAGATCCAGTCAAAAAGATATTATCTTCATATGTTTTGGAGAAAACTTATATAGGCCATGCCTGATGTCCAATCCAATTATGTAAGCTTACTTTACATAATAAAATATTGTTTAAATTAAATCTTCATATGTATACACAATACAAGGGTTTTTCCAACTTCTAAAATTAGCACCGATTTTCAAAATGTGCAAAACTGTGGCTGTGCTATATGTGTGTGTTATCAATGATTTCTAGTAAAATAACTGAGCAAACAGACTTAAAATATCTAGATATTCATGCAACATACATTAATCTGACATTCAGTCATCAAACATAAACATGGTAAAATATCTGAGATGTTAAAAATAGATTGATCAGTAAAAAATGTAATTACATATGATAAGAATAAAATTAAAATAGAAAATGATATCAGTTATAATAACAAATAATTTATTCTGGGTAAGGTCGGGGTGAATTTCAATTATATGTGTGTGTTTTTTAAATTTATTTTTTGCACAACTTTAGAAATGCATGGGCATTTAAAATATTTATTTATACATATTATATTTATAATGTATATGTGAGGCACAATATTGTTTAAGGTCAAAATCATTGTGAAGAGGTCAATTGACCCTGAAGTGAAATGAACTGAGTATGAGAATCATCTTTTGTTTATATATGCTCAAGCTCATTATTTCATTCATTACATGTATATCATACCCTCTACCATTAACAAAAAATGACTTACATTTTTAGGGGGTACATCACTCTGATGTAATAGATGAATATTGAGGATGGAAAAATTCTTTGTTGTGGTTATATATTACAAATACATCACACAAAATTTTCAATTTTTTTTTTATTGGTAGAATATACATGTTATAAATGGGTTCATAACAATAATTGCTAAAATTGTCACTGAAAGTAGACAAGTCCTTGACTCAATTACAAGTATTCTTATAATTCTTATCTGATGAAATTGAACTAAAAAGAATGCATACCTACAATCTATAGTGCTAAGTGTTACAATTGAATACATTAAACAACTGTTCTCTGGCTAAATAGAATAGATTTAAAAATTATATCTCTACCCTTTGTTTGTTGAGGGTGCATCCCTGAGGAGAGGGTTCAATTATATTAATAAGCATAACATGTATGGACAAAATTACACGAAACTAACGGGAAATATTTTTGAAAGTATTGTTCATTATAACTATTAATTTAGTCATATGCAAGGTATAAGCTTTTACACCCCCTAATACCTAAACAATTGAACTCACCAGGTGAGTTGTAAAACCTTAGCAATAACAGAGCTCGTGCTTAGTTCACAAAAACTGTGTAAGTTCCACCTGTAAGTTCCACAGATGTGTCCAAATTGCTAAACTCTGTAAACAGTAATAGGTGTGCTGAACGACTATTCATGGGAAGGGGTTTTGCTTTTGAACATTTCTACTCAGAATATAATGAATTTTCTGGATTAAATTTTCAATATATTTTATTAATACACAAGATTGTCACTTTTCCTCAGCTTAAAGTATTAACACTCATCCATAAATTTGTTACATTTCAATAACTTTAAGATGAAATAAGATTTTTTATTTATATATTCATGTGCAATGTCATTACAATACCTGTACAATATAAGGGGGTTTTCTTGGCGAGTGTAAAATTAGGGGCTTTGCTTGCTCAAAGGTATGCCAATAATTTTGGCTTAATATATTATAGTTAAGCAGACACAGTGATGCAGCTCTTTGTATATGAACACTTTATACATATGAATAAGATGTGTTTGTGAATCACTATGCACCCGGCTGCTGTCGGGCTGCGACAAAGTTAAAAATATATATATTTTTAGGACATAGGTCACAGTCAAGATCATAAGGTCATTGATCTTGGTGTCAGTATGCATACCAAATATAAAGTCTCTATATCTCCAGAAGTTATAGTGAATGTTCAAAAAAGCTAATTTCATCAGGTATGACACAGTCAAGGTCACTGACCTTGGTCTCATTTAAAAGAGCTTAATCAGTGGTATATGCATACCAAGTATAAATTTCTTTTATGGTTCAGGTTAGAATGTTAGAGTTTGCAGACAAATAGCTAAACAGAAAGAAAGAACAAAAACAGTATACACCTATGATCTTTCAATCCGGGCGAATAAAAAGTACTGGCTAATTTAGCAAATAAACTTTTAGCGGGCTACCATTAAAACACCAAAATTAACACCCAGCTAAAATAGCCCACTAATATGGTATACATCTTGATATTATACAGAAAAATATTGACTTCAAATCTGTGTTTATGCACCTTTAGAATATTTGACCAAAATTAGCCTCAGATTCATTAAAAATGAACCATAACAGATGTATGGACTGCATACTCAGTATATTTAGACACAAAGTTCATAATTTAATATCAGCATAAAGTTGTTTCCCTTTGTTTTAACTTCAATAAAAATCAATTAAAAAAATCTTAATTTGGTTAGAAATATTTTTTCAGTTGTTTTTCTATTCCTTATGATCAAGTACATCTTTCTCTCATCGCATTTATTGATATTCTTAATTACTTGTTTCCAAAGACTTCAAAGAATAATTTTAGTTTAGTTAGGTAATAAAAATTTTGAAAATTTCTCTCAGTTAATCCTTTTCTATTCCAAAATTATATTATTAAATAAAATCAGAATAGTTTTTAAACGATTTATATTTTAGGTGTGCAAATTAGGTCCAAATATGGGTCCGGTACCTTAATGCATGCAACAAGTTGACCCAGCTACCAATGAAATCATAACTAATTTTGTAAGGTCAGCATGTTCAGTAACCATTTTCATGAAATAATATGAACTCTAAAAGACTCAGAGATAAATTCTCCAGTTTTCCAACCTTTTCATTGATACCGATCATACTGAAGACAGATTATAAATTGAAAGTTAATTCTATAAACCTGGAGGTTAGGATCACAGGCACCAAACTAAGGGGTCAAAAATTCAAGCGAGTTTGGTGCCTGTGGTTAGGATAGTCTATTGAGTACTCAGAAGTACTGAAAGCCGTGCTCATTTACATGGTAATGAACAAAGACTGCAATGACAGTTTAAAAACAAGCTGATTCAGACATTGAAAAGATGATTATATAATTATATCTATATATGTCATATATAGCATTAAAAAGCTTTAAAATTTATTAAAATGTAGCTAGAATTTAACAGCGTAAAATATTTGTCACACGTATCATTTGGGGGTTTTATATACCAACAGAAGTAAATAAACACTAATGCAGCAAGATTATTTAAGGTCAAACAATTATGCACAGATGGGTCCTCAGCGGGGAGTTTTGCATCAAAGCGTACATCAAGTCATTATTAATGAAGTTCCCCGCATTTGTATAAGCCTGATAAGTACACCCTTTATTTATAGAATATGACGCAGACAGGGATACCTCAGGAAAACCTTTTGCATACTTTAACCAAATGATTAATCATCGAAACCGATATAAAGTATATTATTATAATTATTTTTTAACAATTTCAGATAACTATGAAAATAATTCAGTGTTTGTATTGCTTCAAAGGTGATTGCGCAGACGTACTATATTCTAACTCGTAAATTTAATTTGACGGTGAAGAAGCAGCATTTTCTGTTGCTCACCGTCGCAATAGCCGGGCATTTCTCTATGAGAAATGAGCCCGGCTAAAAATCTGAAAAAAATCTGGATATACACCTATTTGAAGACAGTTTAAAATTAGCATAACCCTTAGCAAAATCAAAACTAAAAATTAAAGCACAATTTCTCTTCAGGTGTTTGTATTTTTTATGCACCCAGATCTATAGATCCTAGGCATATATTGTTTTTGTCCTATCTGTCTGTCTGCGTGTTTGTTTGTCTGCAAACTTAAACCTTCGCCATAACTTTAATTGAAAGATGAAAGGTAAAGACTTCTTATTTGGAAAGCATACTTAACGAATTAGATTCTTTCAAATAACACCAACGACAATGACCTTATAAATGCTAGAAATAGCTTTAATCTGCAAACTTTAACCTTCCCCATAACTCTCGAAATTTGAAAGATAGAGACTTCATATTTGGACTTGGTATGTATACTCCAAAAATAACATTCTTTCAAATGCCATCAAGATCAATGTCTTGGTGACCTTGACTGTGACCTTATGCTAAAAATAGCTTTTTTGTATTTTTTGCACCATAAGAAATAGAGATTTCATATTTGTGCGTACGCCACTGATCAAGTTGTTTTAAATGACACCAAAGTCAATCACCTTGAGTGTTACCTATATGCTAAAAATACGTGTAGCGTTTCTGAATTTTGTTGCCGCACCGGGTGCATAGTTTTTCACCAACACATCTTGTATTATTCCAAAAAGCTAAAGTTACTGGATTGAGTTGGGGATCAGTTTTAACAAAATTAGGATTTTAGAAAAAAAGCCTTTATGTATGATAGTTTACATGTATGATACAATGTAGTATAGTTGCATTTAATAAGCACATTATTGTAAACTATCATACATAAAGACAATGTTGATTTACATTATTTCAGGCTGAACAAAAAAATCTTTAATTTAATGCTGTAAATTGATTTTCCATAGGCATTTTGGGTATTAAAACCCTAACAGCCATTTATACCTATTACAACCATAGGTCCAAACTTCACGTTTACTTTGAAGGAATAAAATATATATGTCTTTAATAATATTTTTTCCTAAAAATCATTACTGAAAAAAGGATCACACAAAACAAATGTTATCTTAAAAACACTGACCACATACTAAGTTAGATGAGGCACATTTGTTTGTTTGTTTGTTTATTCAGGAAATGGCACATATCATATGTAGCATAAGATAGACAAAAAAGAACAAAATTGGCACATGGAATCCAAAGAAATCATAAGTTTTCTTTAAAAATACAACTGTAATAAAACACTAGCATTATATCATAAAAAACAAGTACTTAAGAAGAACAATTAATAATTCAGAATCTCTAAAAAAATAAGAATGGCGGGTAACTAAATAAGTTTTGTACTACATGTAAGCAATTTACCGGAGGATGACCCATGAAAGCAATAATGTGCTTATTTCCAATGGGGTCCTCATAGATTGTAATAGTAATTTACCTACTTAGCACTAAATGCTATGATATAAATAAGAATAAATAAAACATAAATAAATAAGATAATATGTATGTTTAAAGAAACTAATATAATTGTATAATTTTCCTTACAACAACTCGACTTGTAATTTTTTCCCCAGAATTGAAATTGGTGATTAATTTGTTTTCCTTACATCACAGAAAAATGGCTTCACCTGCATATGCATTGGTACTTTTTGATGTTGATGGATGCACTGCTATCGTGGAAACCAAGAAATTGGTTCTTGGGTGAAACGAACTTGTCAGGGGCCTACAGTGTCATATGAAACTTGGTACAGAGAAGCTGAACGTCGAGATCCTGCAAATATCAGGTACTGTTTCAAGATTTTTCACATTTTTCAACCATTGTCGACATAAAGTTATCCTATGTCAGTATGTGTAGTCTTGCTTCTTTGAATCTGCTCTGTACATGTATATGTAAGATGGTCTGCAACGTACAAGATTGAACCCCACGTCTTTTTTTATGCCCCTGTAAATGAATCTTATGGAGTATATATCCCTTCCTGAATTAATATTGAACATAATGACCAAATTGAAGCTTTCCTATAAGTTATTATATATATATTTTTTTTTTTTTTTACATTTTTTGATTTATCTCCCCTTGGAGTAAGCAAGTTCTCTTAATCCATTTTACCCAAGGTCTTTCTCTTTGTCAAGTTTGGTTGACATTGGTTACTTTGTTTTGAAAAAAAAGATAGATGAAATTGTCAAAAGTTAATGGTTAATTAATCAAAAGTTCACTTTAGCCGTCTGAAGGTTTGCATTTTGATTCTGCTAATATTGGGAATATTCCTAATTAACCCTGTAACATAATTGTGGGGAATTCAGTTTTAGCGTAAAAGTGTAACTGTTATACTGGGAATGTTGTCCTTTTACCAGATTGCAATAATCAGAGGGAGGATTAAATTAATTTAGGGATTTGAGTGTGTTTTCTCCTTATTGTATTATTATAAGTAGGGAGTCTTAGGGGAGGGCATAGTCTACAAATGTAATAACAAATTCATAGGAAAAAAAAATGGAAAAGGGTGTTCTTTTAACTTCAGTAGAAGTCAGGTGCAGGTGAGTTAACATTTCAGAACATCAAATTAGCATGAAAGTTCACAATCTACATGTATTTTCCTTAGGTTTACAGTACATTGAGTTCACATGCAGTTGTATAAAATGTAGATCCCCTATAGAACATTGGATTCCACACAATCAGAAAGCTACAAACTTTTAATTCATATAATAATTTATACTATTTTTGCACTATAGATTCAAAGAGACAGCTTAACACATTTGAAGATGACTGGAGCACATCCCATCGCTCTATCGCATTGGATCGAGAGAAGAAGAAAAGACGAAACCAACCTGATGGATACCTTTCTGTATGGCCACAGGATATGGTAACTATTCAAAATTTATGTTTATTTTACCACTTTTCCACTATTTTACCAATTCTATAAAAATGTTAAATTATTCAAACTGTGGTTATTGTACATGTTGTAGGGATAATACTTTTCACAAACTATCTATCTGAACCTGTAATAAATCCAAATAATACCATGATAATCATGATAATAGGAACAATGATAATTTAAACGAATAAAATTTAGATCCATTCCAATTCCATAGCATTGGAGGGTACTATGTAGATTTATAGAAACTATTTTTATACTTTTACCTGCAGGCATGTATTAAATGTGATTTTTTTTTTATCAGGAGGATGTTGTGGGTGAGGAAGTTCAGCCTGCTCCAGTGGAACAGACCAATGATGTAAGTATTTTATGTGACCTTCTCAAAAGTATAGCAACAATCTGAAATTTTTTCACATTTTTAACCACATCTCCAGAATCATACAGCTTATTTTCATTCAACTTGTCACAAAACACATCTTTGAGTCAAGGAAAATTGAATGGCCATGCAGCATTTCTAAGGAAGATAATTATTGAATTACATTTTTGTTTGGTTCTTTGAAAAAGAATTTTCAAGAAGTACTACACGAATAAAAAGCAACCATAGAACATACATTTTTCTTCATTTTATTTTTATTTTTAATCTTCTCCATTAGCCTGAAAACATAGTTGGCAGAAAGATTTATTTTTTTTATCCTTAACAGAATGACCAACCTAATGAAGCAGCCCCAACCAGAAAAACAAAAGGAAAGGCAAAAGAGAAAACAGTAAGTATAAACAAAATTTTATATTAAAGCCTTTCTGGTCTTTTCTGATCACATTTCATCTGTCTGTCCGTCTGTCTGTAAACTTTTCACATTTTCAACTTCTTCTCAAGAACCACTGGGCCAATTTCAACCAAACTTGCCACAAAGTATCATTGGGTGAAGGTGATTCAGGTTTATTCAAATGAAGGGCCACGCACTTATTCAAGGGGAGATAATTGGGAATAAATGAAAATTTAGTGGTATATTTTAAAAATCTTCTTCTCAAGAACCACTGTGCCAGGAAAGATGAAACTTAAGGGGAAACATCCTCAGGTAGTGTCGATTCAAGTTTGTTCAAATCATGACCCGCGGGGGTAGGGAGGGGCCAAAATGGCTGACAAAGGTTTTACATAGAAATACATAGGAAAATTCTTTAAAAATCTTCTTCTCAAGAATGACAAAGCCATAATTCATCATATTTATATGGAAGCATGCTCAGATAGTGTAAATTCTAGTTTGTTCAAATCATGACCTCCGGGTAAGGGCGGGGCCAAAATGGCTGACCAAGATTTTACATAGAGGTTTATAGGAAAATTCTTTAAAAATTTTCTTCTCAAGAATGACAGAGCGATTATTCATCATATTTATATGGAAGCATGTTCAGGTAGTGTAGATTCAAGTTTGTTCAAATCACATTCCCGAGGGTAGGGCGGGGCCAAAATGGACGACCAAAGTTTTACATAGAAATAAATAGGAAAATTCTTTAAAAATCTTCTTGTCAGTCATTTTCTAAAAAACAGCAAATCCATGATTGGTCAAGGGACTACTTTTGGATTTAAATTTACAATAAAAAGCCATTTTATACTAGTCTTACCCTTGGTGCTCAGGTGAGCGATGTGGCCCATGGGCCTCTTGTTTAATTTAAATTTTCAACAATAAACTGAATTCTGCTTTTTTCCAAGCTACAGTGCTCAGGTGAGCGGTATGGCCCATGGGCCTCTTGTTTAAACTTTATTGTCACCAGGTGCATATTGTTTCACAAGTACATCTTGTTTTTTGTCTATGTTGTACTGTACTATAAGTCTATAATCTATTATTGTTATAAACTATGACCCCACAGTCAATAACACTTTGTTACAAAACAGACAAGAGGATAATCAAAGAAAATGTAATGAGCATGAAATTTAATGTTATTTAGTTGAATACTGAATTTATTTCACAAGTGAAATAAGTTTTTTTTTTTCATGAGTGTAGATTACATATTTACCTTTAGAAATCAAAATTTAATCCCAAAGGATAGTTCTATTTTTAAAGTATTCTCTTAAGGAGGAAAGCCACACCAACTTTTCATTTTATAGCTCTCTAGTCATCCTTTTTAACAATGGTTGCAGCATTGATAGGTCGGCATTAGCCTTTAAATATTTTATATGAATTTCATTTTTGTATTTTTTCAGAGAAAATGAAAACAATTATTTACATCCAAATTCGATGCTTTTGTGTAAAAATTTTGCTGCAATTGAATGCATCATATGAATACCTAATTAAATAAATAAATAAAAGCCATATCGATATGAAAAAAATTTTTAATTAAAAAATATTTATGAAAATAAAACACATAATTTTTGAATATTTTTTAAACTTGTGGTTAAAATTTTCTTAATATCAGTCACAACTGGAGAGAACATGTTAGTTTATCATACATGAAAAAAAAGTTAAAAGAAATGGCCAAAATTTAGAGAAATTATTTTTTTTGGCCAATCTTGATCAAAATTAAACTGATCCCAACCATTATTTTGAAAATATTGGAAATAAATAACATTTCCCCAAGAACACTAGTCTGATTGGGTGTAATAAGGGTTAAAACATTATTGACCCTGACATAATAAAATAAGATTTTTTCATTGTAAATATATGAATAGGCGTTTTATTAATTTTGTGTTAATTTTGATCTGGATCTGTTTAATTTTGATCGGTCTAGGTCCAAATACATGTATTAAAAAAAAAATTAATTTCTAAATTTGGTTCATATGTGGTGTTTTCAACCCTTGGTTAAAAAAAATTCTCAAATAAAGTGTTCTATTTTCATAAATTATTTAAAAAAAAAAATTAAAGAGTCTAACCAGACTTTCCTAACATATTTTATTAGATTTTCATATGATGCATTCATTTACAGCAAACTCCATGGACCATTGTTAGAAATCAAGTCTTTAGAATTTACATTCATCTGTCAATTTTTAGGGTTCCAAAGGCAGGAAAATTACAGTGCTCCATGAGGGTTCCGGCGACTTTTCATCAGATACAACATCACCAAAACGTGCTCCCTGCTTTTTGGAGGAAGTTAATGGTGATGAGCGAGATCTAATCAATCTCCAGATTAGGCAACATCAAGAAGGACTACGGAATGTGTCAGTCCAGACAGAGAAGGTTGTGGTCCTTGGAACAGAAGATGTGTTGCCACCTCTGATGGCAGAGACTTTCAGTGCAATGACCAAGACCTTGGGCCAAATTCAAAAGGAACAACAGGCAACAAAGGCCCTAATTCAGGATTTAATGGGGGAAATAAAGACACTGAAGGAAAATCAGCTGTCCAGACCATCACTGGGAGGTCTTTTGTCCACAAGTGATTTGCCCGAGTTGACGGTCAACACATCAATGGACAAGTTGGTGGAGACAGTCCAAGAACTGGAAGAATCTCTCTCAACCAAACCACCACAACGGACTAGTGAGCCAGAGACAGAGAATGATGATAAAGAGGAGCCACTTCCTAAACTGGTGAAGAGACCACGGCAAAACAAGACTGCAAGTGCTACACATAGTATACCACTCGCAACATCAAGTGCCAGAAAACAGAATACCACAAGTCCAGTTGATACGTCAGCCAAAACCAGCCACAGTTTTCCCTCCACTACGACAAGTGCTTCATCAGCAACAACAGTGTCAACTCACAGCTCAACATCTACCACAAGTTCCCCATCAGCCGTCACCAATACAACCATGTCACCTTACAGCTCAACATCTACCACAAGTTCCCCATCAGCCATCACCAATACAACCATGTCACCTCACAGCTCAACATCTACCACAAGTTCCCCATCAGCCATCACCAATACAACCATGTCACCTCACAGCTCAACATCTACCACAAGTTCCCAATCAGCCATCACCAATACAACCATGTCACCTCACAGCTCAACATCTACCACAAGTTCCCCATCAGCCATCACCAATACAGCAACGATGTCAACTCGCAGCTCAACATCTACAACAACCAGTTCCCCATCAGCCATCAACAATACAACAGTGTCAACTCGCACCTCGCTATCTACTACATCCAGTTCCCCATCAGCAAACACTGATACAGCAACGGTTTCATCTCCTCAAGACCCAACATCCACCGCAAGTTCTCCATCTTTGGCAATACGTGCTTCACCTCCAACTAAAAGTGTCATGTCAACCTTCAGTAGCCCTCCATCCATCAACAGTACATCGTACAGCACCAATGCCCAAAATACTTCGTCTGCCACCACCAGTATCAGCAACACTCCACCAGCTTCTTCTTTAACAACAATTAACATGTCGCAAGCAGCTGCTATTTTACCAGCTTCCATGATCGAGTCCTCCCCAAGTCCATCCACAAACAAGAAGACAATAAGATTCAACTGCTTTCCTGGACCTATCATTGAGATAGATGGACCACAAGATGTTTGCGGAACACCAGAAGATGCTGAGTTCAGAATTAGGCAAAAAACATTGATGTCAACATCTTCTGCTGCATGTTCAAAGCCCAACTTTGGCTGGATTTTAGTCCAGAAGATTTACAGCAAAGAAGAGCTGATCGGAAGAAATTTCTTCGGCAACAGAAAAAACATCCCTGCCATTTCACCAAGAAGGCGCCATGCCATAGAACACGCTGTAGCCGAAATGTATGGTTCCAATGAAGCCCATTTAAAAGAGGTTATATCTGGAATCAACACCGGACTCCGAAAAATGCGAAGTAGACGACTACCATTCACATCTTTGGAGAATATTTAACTAAATAAAAAAGTTGTGAAGTGGAACATTTAAGTCTAGTGGATGCTTGTCATGTGGTTAATTTTGAGATATAAAGTTATTGATTAAGATATAAACTTATTATTGTGAAACCAGCTGTTGATTATCAAGCTTGTGTATTTATCAACACTAATGGACCATAAGTACTAGAATTAATAGATGTTGTAATCAATAATAACCAGTGAACATATTTTTTTTTTCCATGTAAATTATTAGAGAAAAATATTTATTTCAAAAATTCGTTGACATTCATGGGCAATATGTTATGGTCAATAATAGCTTTAATGCTGATTAACAATGTGTATATGGTTTATATAAAAAAAAATAGGGAATGACAGCAAGTGGAAAGTTTTATGTTGAGTAGAAAACTCTAGATATTGCTTGTTTCCTTGACACAAATGGACAGTATGCACAATGTACATATGTGTTTATTATCAGTTTCATCCAGAAAATGACTCTTTGATAACATAATTTGATATCATATATACATATTATATATACATGTACATATATATAATAAATATTGCTTTATGTCATTGAATAAAAAAGAAAACTATGAGTAACATTTCTTTGAAAATGAAAAGGTCTCTGGGCTTTAAAAGTCGTGTGCAGTTACTGTACATGTACGCCTGATTTTTTGGTGGCTGTTTAAGTCTCCCCAGTTTCGCAAGTCTTTGCACAAGTCCTTCTTTTTATAGAGTTTAAAACTGAGTAGGTCCCCCAGCATTCAGAATCACATGTGGAATGACTTTGTGAACATGGTCTATATACCTCCCGCACTTTTCCGCTGTTAGAGTCTCCCAGAATTCACGGATTCCTTGCACCAATTCATCCTTCTTCTTTGGTTTCACGACAGACCTCAAATAGGTTTTCATGGCTGACCAAACATTCTCAATTGGATTGAGATCAGGGGAAGAAGCAGGTGTTACCATCACGGATTCGGAAAGTCCGTTGTCTTGCATCCACTGCTTTGTTGATTTGCTGGTATGCTTCCTGTCGTTGTCCTTAAAAAATATGTTCGTATTAAATACAGATAACTTCCATCGTTTAAGTATGCTCTTCATACATGTAGACTGAACAGAAAATTAAAAAGTAGGAAAGCTTGGTCAGTTACTGCGTTTTAATTTAAATGCAAATGAGGTTTCTTTTTTTCCATTTCAATTAACTACACAGATGAAATGTATAAGTACTGCATGTTTAAGGACCGTACACTGCGGATCTAGAAGGCAACCACCCTGAAATAGCTGTTATTTAATGTACATACTAAATGAAGTAAAAGGGACCTTGGAAGCTCTACCCCTGAAAAAGCAGCCCCCTTCTCAAAAATGCAGATCTGTGTTGTTGGTCTGATAGGTTCTAGGTATGCAACTTAAAGGTCAATGACTTGCACTTTCCACCCCAATGAAATAGTTAGGTAATTTAGCCCCCTCCCTTTTATTGCTTGTTCAGAAATACCTGGGTTGGACTGGGGTGTTCCCCCCACCCCATAATATAATTCCTGGTTCAGCACCTGCTGCAGACTTAAAAGTACATGTATAAAATTCCATTTAACCTTTATGCAGTGATAAGAATTTAGATGCAGAACTTTTTAATTAACTACACAATAACTTAAATTATCTAGGATAGGTTTAATCATATTTAATATCTCTTGATTTAATTAAGTGGTCATTGATTATAATTTAATAGTAAATTTATGCACTAAAAAATATTTTGTGAGAATTGAGAAAGGATGTGGGTATATTTAAGCCCTTTTTTTTGGTAATGATACGAATTTATCAAATATTCCTATAAAGTCCCCTCCCCTCTTGTTTTCTTTTCAATTCTATTGAACTAGTCGCTGGAAAATTTGTTTCTTTACCTGATAGAGTCTGAAACCATCTGGGAACTTGGCAGCGGCAAATGGGAGAAGGTTGTCCTTCAAGATTTTTTGATAAATTTCAGAGTCCATGATTCCCGTGAAAACACAAATGTCAGTTCTCCCTCTGTAGGATATTCCTCCCCACACGTTCACTTTGTAAGAATGCTTTGGCTTAGGAGCTTTTGCCGGAAGGCGGTCTAAGTTGGAGCCTTGCTGGTAGAAAAACAAGCGTCCTGATGAACACATTTCCACTGTAGACTCGTCTACATAGATGACATCTCGAAATGGGTCCTTGTTGATCATTTGCTCAATGGACCAGTCTAGTCTGTGCTTCACATTCTTGTAGGAGATCAGTTGTCCATACTTCATGTGCTTGGCTGACCAGTTTAGTTGGCGTCGAATTTCACAAACGTACTCTTTAGTCACTTGAACACCACACTGCCTTTCAAGTCTATCCTTAATGCACTGAGCAGTCCACTCAGGATTGCTGGCCATCCACATGTTCACATACTGTAGGTGAATGGGCTTGATCTTCCTGAATATTACAGCCCGGGGTTTACTGTTAAAAAAAATTTTATCTTAGTGCATAATAGCTGCATATCTGAAGCTCACTGGTGTGAAAAATTCAAAAAGATAACCTTGCCACCCAAAATGGCAGTATAAATAGGCAAAATTTTATCATGTTTATATGGTCTCATTTCCATGCCCGTAAGTCTATTTACAAATGTTATATATGGAATGTTTTGTAGTAGAAATAGTACCTACTGTAAAAAAAAATGAGCAAGTGCTGTATTAATTTGAGATAACAGTTTAAAAACTTCAAAGTTCACAGAAGTAGTTATATTTTCTGACCCTTGTTCTATTGTAAAAGAAAGACAGGAAGTATTCCATTTGCTACTTTTATTACCCACTTATCGTTCTTGGTTTTGTGGATTTATGTAGTCATGAAGGCTCACTGATTTGAACAGATCATTGGACATGCATGTATTGTAAATACATGTACAATGTATACTTTATTTTATCAAGTTAATTTTATTTCATTTTTCATCGTTTTTGTGAATATGAACGCGTGTCTTTGTTCAGATGAGTTACCCGGTACATGATTTCTTAGTTTCATTATTTCAATTTGAACAAGTAGTAAACGCAGATTAATAAATCACTCAACTGAAAACTTTGCTTTTCTTTGGAAGATGACCCTGATAAATAGCATAATTATTCATGTGTAACAATTCCGCTTTTATCCTTTAAACATGATAGTTTCTCTAAATCAAAACTTCAGAGATAAAATTAACACTATGTCCCATGTTTGATACAAAATCATAAGGGTTCCATTGTCTAATGAATATTAAATGTCCTTTTTTAATCCAAGGATAACGTAAAATGCAGCTAAGATAGAATAATGTACACGTTTAAGATTAACATCTGTCAACTTACAATAGAAATTTGATAAGGCCTATAGAAGTATAAAAGGAAATTTTAGTAGATAGGGTATTCTAACTGTAGTGAGGGCTTGTTCTGAGACACAGATTGTTTTTTAACGGTACCATGTAATTTTTTCCTGATATTTCATTCATAAACAAAGAATTCTGATATATTCATATTTTGGGGGCACTTTTCATACAGTACCTGACATATTATACATATGTTACATGGCTTTGAGGGCAGCATACCAGAATACATGTATTTGCCCCAAGGTGACAAGAAAGCCCTGGAGTGTTATGCCGCAGGCAGAGGGCAACATTTTATCTGTATATTCGATACTATCCTACAACAAATCTTGCCTCTTGAAATGCAGTTTTATCCTAAGATATTTCTGGTATCTTGGTATTGGATCTGGTACATGTAACATACATGTGTAAGAAACAAGAAAAATTAATGCAAACCACACTAAAGGATAGAAAGAAGAAATTAGCATTTCAAAAAAGTACTTTCACAACCATGGAAGGAAAGCACAAGATATCTAAAGCTGAAAATAGTGATCATTTTTAAAGCAAAATAAATAAACCAGAAGTCTCTGTCGAGACTGAAGCTCTACTGGTTTGTACTTATAGCAAAGGAAGAGAAAAGTACTAAAAGCAGTTAGAAATTGAAACTTTTCAACAGCAATAAATAGAACAATGATCCTTGATTAAGTCTCTTTATGTTCTTAGTGAAGTCTACTTGCATGCCACATAAAATTATAACCAGACTAAAACTGTTATTTGGAATAGCATTTTGAGAGTATTTAACAGAAATTTCTATTTTTAGTAACCACAGCAACACCGTTTATCCAAATCAAAAACCGATACACAGAATTAATATGTATCTTAGTGTAGTCTACTTGTGTGCTAAGTTATATTGAAATCAGACCAAAACTGTAGGAGGAGTAGCATTTTGAAAGAATTTCACAGAAATTTCTATTTTTAGTAACCACGGCAACACTGTTCATCGAAATCAAAAACCGATACACAGAATTATGTATCTTAGTCATAGTGTACTCTACTTGTGTGCCAAGTTATATAGAAATCAGACCAAAACTGTAGGAGGAGTAGCATTTTGAAAAATTGTTTACAGACAGACAGACAGACGGACGGACGACGGACGCATTACCATCGCATAAGCTCTTCTGGTCTCTGACCAGTAGAGCTAAAAATATTCAAAAACAATTAAAGAGATATTTAAGAGCATTTGCTCATCTAATGGACCTATCAATATAAAAAAAAGTCATAATTAATGCGAGAAATTATTGTCATTAAAATGAAGATGTAGGCCTCTCAAGATGAACCATGTGCTGATATCCTGGATGTTTGTCATAATATTTACTTTTGCTGATGTCTTTCCTTATATCTGTAACAATGCTAATAAAATTGAAATTCAGAAATTCAATTTTCCATGACATGCAGTAGGTCACATTATCAGACTTTCTTGCGTATGGAAAGCAAACTGCACAAGCAATTTGGAAAGTTTCGACTGTGATGTCATATGGCGTCAAAGTAACGTAACATTGCATTTGAAAATCGGAGTCTTAATACAATAACATGCATATATTTCTTTAAAACATGAAGGAAAATGTAAAATATAAATATAAGAAATAAGATATAATTTCTCTGAGTTTCACTGGGGTATGACATGACGTTATGTGATCAAATCTACTATAATGCACATTTTGCTATTTTATTATTTCTTAATTAACT